TCCCAGGCTGGCCTCAAATTTGTGATCCTCCTGCCTCAATCTTTTGAATAGCTGGCGTGCACTATCCTACCTGGTTTAAGAACTTCTCTTAACATTTCCTATAAGGCAGGTCTACTGGTTACAATTCCCTCATTTTTTGTTTGAGATCTTCTTCATTTTTGAAAAATAATATTGCAAGGCACAGAGTTTTGAGTTGTTCAGTTTTTTCTCTCTTTCCATTTCCCTGCGCTTCCTTGCCTTTGCGGTTTCTGAGGACAGGCTGGATGTGAATCTTACCTTTGCCCCTCTTTGGTTTCTCTTGGGATTAATTTATCTTTTTTTTTTTTTTTTTTTTGTATTTTGCAAACACTATGCCTAGATATAGCTATTTTGGCATTTTCCTTGGTTTTCTCTGAACTCCCGAATCTTTGTTTAGGTGTCTGCCATTAATTTGGAGAAATTCTGTCATGGTTTCAAACATTTTTTCTCTTCCTGGTATTCCCATACCTGTATGTCACATCTTTTGTATTGCCCTACAGTTCTTAGATTCTCTTCTCTCTCTCTCTCTCTTTTTGTGTGTGTGTGTGTGTTTGTTTTGTTTCTTCTCCAATCCTTTATCTCATTGCTTCAGTTTTGAAGTTTGCTGTTGAGGTATCATCAAGCTCAGGGAGTCTTTTCTCAGCCATGTCCAATCTGCTAAGACCATCAAAGGCATTATTCATTTCTGTTATAGGGCTTTGTTTTTTCTCTAGCATTTCTTTTTTGTTCTTTCTTCAAACTTTTGCTTCTCTGTACATTGCTCCTTTGTTCTTATATTCTGTCTACTTATCCATTAGAACCCTTGACATACAAATTATGGTTGTTTTAAATTCTTTGTGATAATTCATTCCATCATCTCTATCATGTGATTCTGCTTTGGTCTTCGTATACTTTATATTTTTTCTTGATAGTCAGATCTGATGTACTGGGTCAAAGGAGCTGTTGTGATAGGCCTTTAGGGGGTGGCGGTGAGGCAAAGGAAGAGGGGGTCCGCTGCCCTGTGGCTGGGTCTCTGTCCTTTAGCAGACCTGTACCTCTGGACTGTAAACTCCACTGGTTCTCCCGAGTTCCTCTGCTCCTCCCTGGGCTGGGACTGGATGGCTGGTGTGGGCTGGACTTGGTATCTCCCTCCCCACAGGTCAGAAGGTCTCA